AGAGGAGAGGGATTTCAGGGCGGCGTATGGTGGGAAAATGGAAGGGTTTGGGGGGTTGTTTGGGACTAAAAAAGGAAGGGGCAGTTTGTGGCCGTTGATCTCTATGACCAACGGCCGAGATTGAAAGGGTTTTGGGGCCGGATCGGGTATTAAGGTTTGAGCTGGGTAAATTTTAATTGAAATTGGGCTGGTATTGGGTTGAAATAGGACTAAAATTGAAATAAAAATAGGCCAGATTTAAAATAACCACTTTTAATAACTACATAATTTATAAAAATAATAAATGAGTTCCAAAATATTTTCGTGTACTAAAAATGATCTAAAATAGTTGTTTAACATTTTAAAAATATGAAAGACCATTTTATGCATCAATAATGTAATTATGCATTAGTATGGGTTATTATTGCAAAAATGTGCAATTTAGCCTAAAAATATAAATATAATTACAAAAATGCACTAAAAATATTTAAATACTATGTTGGCATGAATAAAGAATTTAGATGACTAAATCATCACAAAAGTAATTTGAAGGATAATTATTGGATACTCACATAAATAAAAAGAGAAGAAATAAATTGATTCGGAGCTTTTAAAATTATAAAATTTTTATAGAAATGCTTATGCATGCTTATAACTGCATATGGGCTATTTGAAAAGTATATATATGTATTAAAAATATATGAGGAAAAATTGGGTATCAACAAATATCTTTCTAATATGTCTCTTTTTATCAGTAATTGCATATTTTCGAAAACTCTATTTCCGTAACAGTCAGGTGTTATCAAGGGAAACTCGAAAAGGGCCTCCAGAACGGAGCAAAGCAAGGCTAGCGGACAGAAGCACGAACCAACCTCCCCTCACAAAACTTACAATTTTTCTTTGACCGCAGGCACATTTGATGTAGCAATAGCATCCGCAAATATATACACGTAACAAGATCACTATCAATCGGGCCATTGGACACTGAACGTATCCCCAGCTAAGAAACATTCTACTCTCACTTGCAATCTATTCTTTGCATGAGGCTAATCTCTGCCTCCATATTTGCATGAGGCTAATCCCTGCCTCCATATTTGCATGAGGCTAATCCCTGCCTCCATATTTGCATGAGGCTAATCCTTGCCTCCACATCCGCATGAGGCTAATCCCTGCCTCCATATTTGCATAAGGCTAATCCCTGCCTCCATATCTTCCTGAGGATAATCCCTGCCTCCATATCTGCATGAGGCTAATCCCTGCCTCCGTGCTTGCCTGAGGCTAATCCTTGCCACCACATCTGCATGAGGTTAGTCCCTGCCTCCATATCTGCATGAGGTTAATCCCTGCCTCCCTGCTTGCCTGAGGCTAATCCCAGCCTCCACATCTGCATGAGGCTAATCCCTGCCTCCACATCTGCATCAGGCTAATCCCTGCCTCCATATCTGCATGAGGCTAATATCTGCCTCCGCGCTTGCATAGGCTAATCCCTGCCTCCACATTTGCATGAGGATAATCCTTTCCTCCTCATTTGCATGAGGCTAATCCCTGCCTCTACATTTGCATGAGGCTAATCCCTGCCTCCGTACTTGCATGAGGCTAATCCATGCCTCCACACTTGCATGGGGACTAAGCATTGTACCTCCTTGTACAAATGTTGCTCTATTCCGGTACTATCTATTTGCTTTTCTATCGGGCTAAGCTCTGCCCTTCATTTCACAAGACTAAGCCTTGTCTTGTTAACATCATACTATTGCATCTCATGGGCTGAAATATCACCAATCTATCAAAAGGCGTCATAGTCTAAAGGCATCATCCTCATAGCCGGAAGAAACCATGCCATGGCTTGTGGATCTCTCAAATTTGCATATCATTATTCAAACGCGTCATAGTTCGGAGGCACCATCTGCATGGCCCGAGAACACCATTACATGGCTGGCAAATCCCTCACCAAACAATTCATGGCCCAGGACATTATGATCTGAGGATGTCATCCTTAAACCGTCCGAAGACAACTCTCATGGTCCAAAGGGAATCTGCATCATGTTTAAATTTTCGCACAAATACATGTTCGTAGAATCTCTTTATCTACAGGTGACCAGTAAGCAACCGCTATCCTAGCAGGAGCGACCCCGCTCCAGTTCTTCAGTGTAACGACCCAGCCGGTCGTTTCATGAGTTACCGCTCCGTTTCCCCATTTCTGCTTCTATTTGCTTTTTTTATCGGTTCTATAGGTGATCGGGTTTTTTGGATTGGGTTCGGAAAGGTTTTGAGAAGGTTTGAGACACTTAGTCTCTTTTAAGAAAGCTTAAGTTGGAAAAGTCAACCGGATATTGACATATGTGTTAGAGGGCTCGGATGTGAGTTTCGATGGTTTGGATATCTTTGGGGGATGATTTGTGACTTAGGAGCGTGATCGGAATGTGTTTTGGAGGTCCGGGGTAGATTTAGGCTTGAATTGGCGAAAATGAGATTTTGACGTTTTCCGGTTGATAGGTGAGATTTTGATATAGGGGTCGGAATGGAATTCCGGAAGTTGCACTAGCTCCGTTATGTCATTTGGGGTGTGTGTGCAAAGTTTTAGGTCATTCGGACGTGGTTTGGTTGGGTTTTTGATCAAAAGCGGAATTCGGAAGATTTTAGAACCTTAGGCTTGAATTCGATGTGTTTTGGTCGTTTTGATGTTGTTTGAAGTGTTTTGAAGGTTGGTATAAGTTTGAATAGTAGTATATGATGTGTTTGTGCTGTTGGTTGAGGTCCTGGGGGCCTCGGGGTGATTTCGGATGGTTAACGAAAGGTTTGGAATTGAGTTTGGGAGCTGAAGCAATTCTGGTTGCTATCATAACCGCATCTGCGATTGGAGGATCTCAGGTGCGACCCCGCAGATATGGGTGACCAGTCGTAGAAGCGGAAGGGGCTAGGAAGGCTGTGACCGCAGAAGCGATTGGGTGAGCGCACCTACAATGGCGCAGGTGCGGAGTGAGCATCATAGATGCGATTTTGGCCGTTTAAGTGGAAACCGCATGTGCGGCGGTTGGGACCGCAGAAGCGGTCACGCAGGTGCGAAAAGCCTGGCTCAGAATGTTATATTTCTTCCTTCGCGATTTTCAGAGGGTTTCACCATTTTTAAACACGAATTTTGGAGCTTGGGCGATTTTGGAGAGGAAATTCAAGGAGACTTCATTGAGGTAAGGTCTTGGACTATGAAAACTCGTTTCTATGGTACTAATTCACGGATTAGAGCTGTAATTAAGGTTAGAATTTGTTGAGGTGACACACTGGCTAGATGACGAGCGTGGGGTCGTGCACCGTTGTTGTGACGTAGTCCATCCCGAACGACTATTTTACTACGTATTTGACTGCAAATTGTCTGATATTATCATGTTTTGGGCTAAATGCCATATTTGGGCTTCGTGCCAATTGTTTGGACCCTTAGGGGATATTTACTGCTATTTTCTTCACTGTTTTGACTTTATACTTGCACTCAGTCATACTCTATTTTACTGTTTTCATAACTCAGCCATGCTTACTCTGTTTTAAACCCTTTAAATGATATTTTAAAAGATATTTTGAGCTGAGCATCATGTTCACTGTTGCCCGAGGGGCTTATGAGATTCCGACTGAGTAAGGCCGAGGGCCTGTGTTGTGAGGATACTTTTTGGTCGGGCTGCACACCGCAGCAGTGATATACTGATTATGATAATGAGGCCGAGGGCCTGAGATTGTGCGCCACAACGTGGCTTGTGATTGATATGAGGCCGAGAGCCTGTTTGATTATGGCACGAGATGGCTTGATATTGCGCTTGGGCCGTAAGGGGCCCCTCCCGGAGTCTGTACACCCCCACTGAGCGCGGGTACCCATTGTGATATGAGATATAGCCCGAGGGGCTGGTATTATTCTGTGATGTTGCCCAAGGGGCTGATTCTGTGGTTACTGTGCCCGAGGGGCAGTTCTTATGTGTTTACCTTTTCTAGCTATTTTGCCTCTATTTGTTTAGCTTCTTAAAAGGTGTTTTAAGAGATTTCACAGTTTAATTGTGTTTACGGATTTTGTTCTGCCTCATATAGCTTATTGTTGTGTTTAACGTGATTTTATATTGCTCAGTCTTCATTTATGGTTATTACTCACTGAGTTGGAGTACTCACTTTACTCCCTGCACCCCTGTGTGCAGATTCAGGCGCTACAGGTCCTGCTAGCGAGGGTTGAGAGCTGTCCAACAGATTCCGGAGATTCACTAGGTAGCTGCCCGGCGATTCGCAGCCCAGTGCATTCTCCCTCTATCTTATTTCCTTCTATTTCAGTTATGTAGTAGTGGAGTAGACTTTCAGAGTTGTAGTATTATTTTAGATGCTCATGACTGGTGACACCCTGATGTCGGGCTGTATTTATTCCGCAAACTATTTTGTTACCTTATTTTGGGATTTTATTCTATTAATGACTTAGTATTTATTATTTTAATTTCTTTGAGATGAATTGGGAGTGTGTCAACTGGCCTTGTCTTCACGAGAGGCGCCATCACGACCGGGTCCGGGTTTAGGGTCGTGACATTCAGCTATCTCAAACCTGGACCATTCACCATAACCACTCTTGCATCCAGTCCGAAATCTCGTGTCCGTTCTTGTGATTACTTCATCGGTACACTTCGCCAATGAATCTAGAACTACACATGGCATGATTCCTGTAAAACCAGGGATATGTAGGCAGCTACAAAACCAGAGTCCGGCCTCTATCTTTCAAAACATCCCATCTGGTCAAAATTGGCCATCATTTCTTTATCCGGAAACTCTTTCATCCTTCTCAGGTAAAGAGGGGCAGCTGTTGATACCCAATTTTTCTTATAATGTTTTCTTTTTTTTGAAGGGTAAGATACTTATATTATAACTTACGACATTGTCTTAGGGATAATGTCCCACAGAGCTGCCGTTAATACATAGTTGGTTCATACCCCCTAAGGCATTTTCATTACCTAGGGAGGCCAAGATATTACATGCAAATAAACTACAAGTCCGGAAACTAATACAACCATCCTTATCAGCTGAATACACATTAAGAGCAAAATTAGGAGGCTCCGCAAAATAGCTAGTAATATTATAGCTAGGATAAAGTAGTGCTTCCTTGGCTAGTTGGTGTGCAACTTTGTTCCCCTCGCGAAAGTTATGCTTCAGTCTGATCTCCCCAATCTCCATTAGCTTCGCCATGAAGTACCTGCACTCATTAAGCAAACTATTGTAAGTAGGATAATCTTCATCCATGAAACGTATGACCTCAGTAGCGTCCGTTTCTATTTCACATGGTATAAAATTTCCTTGCATAATCGTTTCCAATGCTTGTCGAAAGGCCAGCAGTTCAGCATGGATTGGGGTTATGCATTCACATTTTTTGTAATATCCTAGCATCCATTTTCCTCTATTGGTTCTTATGAATCCACTTATGCCACCATGTAGATTTTCTTCAGTGAAAGCTCCATCAATGTTTATCTTATACCAATTTTGAGGGGGTGGGTGCCACTTTACCTTCACCTTAATGGATCTATTACTAGTGGTGTGTGTAGTAGCTAGGAAGAGAAATTCCATTGCATTATTAAACAATTTGGTGGTGTTGATCTTATTTTCAGTGTTATTAATATTGTTGTCGTTTCTGTTTTTCCAAATTGACCATAATGCAAATGGAAAAACCCCTTCCCAAGTGATGAGATTGTTTGGTAAGTTAGGAATTTTATTTCTTAGGAAATCCACCCAGTGCTCATGTGGCATAGGTTTGCTTGAAGGCACCCCTATTGATGCCCTGAATTGTTTTACTATTTTGCAATCCCAAAAAATGTGGAGAAGAGATTCGTCAACCTTACAAATTGGGCTATTTGTGTCTATGTTAACACAAATTTTCCCTAGGTATTCCCTAGTAGGGAGCCTTGAGTGGTAACATTTCCATACGAAAAATTAGATCTTCCTAGGACATTTTAATCCCCATATCCATGCATAATTGTTGTCATTATAGATATGCTGGTCAATTAAATTATAGCATGATAAGGTTGTGAATATTCCACTGGTAGTTTTGGTCCAAATAAGAGTGTTAGGATGAGAGGTCAATGTGGTTAGTGAGTGGATACTATTCATAATATTGTTAGGAAGTTTAAAAGAAATGTTGGCCAATTCCCATGAACCATTATGAATTATGTCTTTTATTTTCAATTCACTTTCCTTTTTATTAGGAGGACCTATAACAGTTTCCCTTAATTTTCCAAATTTAGGGATCCAATTGGTATCCCATATGGACAAGTTTGAGTTGTTATCCACGGGCCATCTTATACCTTTTCTACACAAATGCCATCCCTTTAAGAGACTTTTCCAAGTGTGTGAGACCCCCTTTGTTGATTTTATATGGCCGTATATACTAGTAATAATACGTGCCCAAATGGCAGTGGGGTTACTTAGAAGCCTCCAAACCAGGCTTGTTAGAAGGGACAGGTTTTTTGATTGAGCCTTTCTAATGCCCAGTCCTCCCATATCCTTTGGCAGGGTTACTACATTCCAGGCTACTAAGTGCATTTTCTTTTTTTCCCTTGTAGTTCCCTACAGGAAGTCCCTTTGAATTTTATCTATTTCTTTGAGTGTCCTACTTGGGAGTATTGAGAGCTGCATTTGGTGATTAGGAATAGTGTTTAGTGTATATTTTATAAGAGTATACCTTCCTGCCATATTAAGCCAATTGGCATTCCAAATGTTCAATCTTGCCCTCATTTTCTCAATTAAAGGCAAATAATCTTTGTTTTTGGGACATTTACCGCTCATAGGGAAACCTAGGTAGCGACCAAAGTCCTTACTAACTTTTATGTCTAGTGTAGAAATTATCCAGTTGCCCAAACCATTTGAACAATTCTTTGAGAGGAGCAATTTTGATTTATCTTTATTGATATTTAGCCCGGATAAAAGGCAAAAGGCATCCAAATTATCTTTCATATTAGTGATTGTTTTTTTGTTACCCAAATATCTTTCACATTAGGGTTAAGTCATCAACAAAAAATAAATGGGACAGAGGAGGGCTTTTCTTATTTAAAAGAATTGGATCCCAACGAAGGGTGTCGACTTGGTGTTCAATTTTTTTGGAAAGCATATCCTTGCACAAGATAAATATATAGGGGAATAAAGGGTCCCCTTGCCTGATCCCTCTTGTTGGGTAAAATTCCTCAGTTTTGTTACCATTAACAAGAATTGAGATTGAGGTAGTTGTGATGCAACTCATTATAAGAGAAGAAATATTTGGAGAGAAATTGTGGAAACCTAGGGTTTGAAAGACAAAAGACCATTCCAATTTGTCGAAGGCCTTTTCTAGGTCTATTTTTAGAAGCCAATTTCCTTTTCCACTCCGGTTGTTAAAACGTTTTAGGACCTCTTGGATGATGATCGCATTGTCACTAGGTCTTCTATTTTTCACAAAGCTAGTCTGATGTTCGCTAATTAATTTGTTTAATAAGGGCTTTATACGATTTGCAATTATCTTAGAAATTACTTTATACAAAGTATTGCAGAGACTAATTGGCCTGAAATTTTGAAGCATGTTTGCATTGTTGAATTTTGGTATCAAGCAAACATATGTTTTATTAAGGTCCTGGGAAATTTTTTTGCAATTAAAAATTTCCTGACATAACTTAATAACCTTATGACCCAGAATAGACCAAAACTTTTGGAAGAAAAAAGGGTGTAATCCATCAAGGCCCGGTGCCTTATTAGGTTTGAAAGAAAAAATAGCTCTTCGAACCTCATGATTTCGAAGAGGCTTTAGCATCTCCTTCATTTAGCCAATTAACCCTAGAGCGAATTTTTCAGTAATCCTCCTCTAATTTGAGAACAGACTCATATTCGTCTATAAGGTTAACTTCTAGGTCCCTAAGAAATTGGCTATATTGGTAGTTAGGAGAGTTTTGGATTCCAGTTATTCTCTTTAATAAATTTCTTTTTTGGCAAAAATGTTCCCAAAAACTTCCTTTTTTCATTCTAATACATTTTTTTTGGAAATTCACAGCCCCTTCTATAATGTCCTTATTAGCCCAGCTATCCGTAACAACCCTTGGGAAGTCGGGGTGGGAGCACCAAAAAGTCTCCATTCTAAAGGGTCTAGCATTATGACTGTTAATATTATTGTTAATGTTAACTAAAATAGGGTTATGATCAGAGTGTATTTTAGGAAGGTGTGTGACCGTAACCTTATTATACTCATGTAACCAAGATTGATTGGTATATACCCTATCTAGTCTTTCCATAATGAGGCCCCGATTTTTTCTCCTATGGTTCGACCAAGTGTATTTGCATCCTTTGTAGCCTAAATCCATTAGATGACAGTAGTTTAGACAATCAATAAGGTTCCTGGCCCTTCTTTGGTTTATAGTTCTACCCCCAAATTTATCCGTAGAATTAGTAAGTTCATTGAAATCCCCAGTCACTAGCCAGGGTCCTTTATATCTATCATATATATATTTAAAATCATCCCATAATAACATCCTAGTAGCAATATTATTACTAGCATATACTGTAGAAAAAAGCCAAGGTAAATTTTTGGGTTTTACCTCAGTCATTGCATGGATGGATTGTCCATTTTTGGTGAAATTGCACACTTAATCACAGCAGTATTCCATAGGAGCACCATACCACCAGAGTTTCCCTCCGCTGGGACCTCAACCATCTCATTAAAGTTGTATTATTCCAGAATAGATACATGGCACTCCATTTTTGTTTCAAGTAGTGCAACTAGTTTTGGCTTGTGAGTATCCATAATTTCACGAAAGTGTCTCCTAAAATTATCATTATTTGCACACCGGACATTCCAAACAATTATGTTACTAGGATGATTCATTGGAATCATTATGGGTGGGGGGTTGTTTGGATCCCTCCTCAAGGAGGGGACTAGAATGACTACATTCTTGCCCACTGTGGCGTCGTGGGGAGGACGAATGTCCAAGGAGCACTTGTACAGTGTCGTTGGGCAACTGTAGATGTATTTTCTGTCTAGCATTTCTTCGAAAATGAGTATTTTTACCTCGTTTAGGTTTGAAAAGGTCACTGGTGGCTCTAACAGAATTTTTAGGTCGTCCTCTTCCTCCTCTTCTTCCTCTTGGGCTCCTTCCTGGTTCTGCATGTTGGGAATTGGTGGTTGAACCTCCATTGGCTCTGGATGTGGACCTAGTTGTTGGTCTTGCATGTGTTGCTGAGGTGCCCATTGGGTAAAAATGGGGTTCAGCATGATTAGATCCTCCGGGGCAAAAAAAGGCAAGTTGAGTGGTGGATTCTGTGGTAGTTGCTGATTTGCATTTTGTGGTATGTTCCACATGCCTTGCATGGTTTGCACTAGGTTCTGGTTCAGTGATGGAGCAAGGGTTGTAGAATATTGCTCATCCACATCTGATTGATGTAGTTGTTCATGGCTAGGGTCATTCCTTCCGAGATCAATTGTGCCGGAAAGTGTGTGTTTTGAATGATTAGAATGGAGTCTTGCCCGTTGATCTCCATATTGAAGGATATGGCTTGCTCCTGAAGCCCTAGTTCTACCCATGACTGGGGTACATGGTTGGGAGGGCTGGGTGGTTAGGCATAGATTAGTGGTGGTGGTTGGATTTGGGGTGGAAGAGGAGGTAGGTTGTTCATCGTTGGATTTCTTGATAGGTGAAAGAGTTGAAGCAGTCGATACCTCCTTCTTAGTGTTAAGGGAGTTCTTGCCATTCTCAGAGGCTATGTGTAATATTATAGAGGGGAGGTAACTATGTGGGTAGCAGGGTTTGTAATGATGTGATCTGGGGTAGTAGTTTGAGAGATTTTTTGCGTGTAGTTTATATCAACTTCTACCGGATCTTGCATGGATATGGTAGTTGCCACTTGGCATTGTTCAACTTCCATGTGTTGCATGGATGAGTTGTTATTTGTGGAGGGAGTTTCTAGATTGTTAGTTTGTTGATTAATGTTTCCATCCGATGATTGGTTGTGTAGTATCCTGGGTTGGCTAGTAATAGAAGTAGTGATATTATTTTGTTTTAAGAAGTTCATTAACGGGCTAGTTAATTGCTTGTCCATTTTGATAGCCAAAGGATTTGATTCATAATGAGTGAGATCTTCTTTTGACACGTAGTGACCACTTGTAGAGACTATGGCTTTAGTGCCATGCAAAATAGTATTTTCATTTTCAGTTTTTTTGTCTGCATTATTTTCCAGAACAATGTTCTCATGTGGTTTATTAGGAAAACCACCATTACCCATGTAATGTGGTTTTCCAATGGGGATTTGAGTGTCTGAGCTAGTATCTTTTCCCTTAGCTGATTGGGAGGCAGAATGAGAGGAAGCAGTAGCTAAATTTGATGTAGAATCTAATTGTGTAGCAAGGTTTGTAAGAGACGTACCTGGGGAATGTGACTTACCTGGCCTTGAAGCCAATAAATGTGCGTTTTTACCTTTGTCATTTGGGTAGGCTTCCTTCAGTTGCTGTGGATTGGCTACTTTGTTCTTACCTTTCTTGGGAAAGGACACTATTTTCCACTCCTGTGTATCTTCACTTTCAGGGACTGCTACTTCTTCACTGATCCTTCCTTGTTGTTTTCCACTTGGTGTTGTGTAATAGGTGCAGCTGATTGTTGAGTGACCAACCGGCCACAATTTTTACATAAGAAACCTTCTCCTTCATATGGGATTGGTTGAACGTGTTGCCCAATTAGGATAGAGGTCTGGACTGGTTTGTTCAATGGCAATTCCACACATAGGCGAGCATATCTTCCTCTCAAGGTGGCAGATGTGCATGCATCCACCTTCAGTAGTTTTCCAATGTAGTTTCCAATTTTTGTGAGGATGATTCCATCGTAAAATTTCGTAGGTAGTTGGGGTAATCTAATCCAGACGGCTGTGTGATTTTGGCATGCCTTAGTTGCCACAAAATTTGGAATCCATTGTTGTACTGATAAGAAGTGGCCATTGATGAACCATGGACCATTGTGTAGGATCTTAGCCATACTCTCTTCCTTCATCAATTTGACCGTGTAGTAATCTTCCCCTAAGTCTATTAGGGGATAATTTTCATCAATCTTCCATAGTTCTTGTGTTTTCTTCTTTAGGTAGTGATGTGTTATTCTTTTCCCCAGAAGCTTTATAATTAATGAAAACCTCCAAGGGTGATACATTCTTTTTTTGTCTTCCTCACTTAGGGTTATTTGTTTCAAGTTGTTACACATAGAGTCCAGAGGAGGGCCTTCATCATCATAGGCTTGGGTGTCCATGGATGTGCAATGTGATCTTAGGTAGGAGTGTTGTTCCATAGAGAATAATTCCCCTTGAGTTAACTTATCCTTATAGGATGTAGCACTTGTTGTAAGATTTATTATGGAAGGTGATGGATTATGTGTATGGGATTGTTTGTCAGGAGGTTTGGGAGGGATTTGGCAAGAGTTTTCCGGTGGAAGTGGTAGTGACAGGTTGCTCATTTCTTCAGATCGTACTCCAGTACTAAACCAAGTTTATCAATCGTTGTGTTAGTTTGTTTGAAAAAAATTTCTTAAAAATAAATTTTCTTATAATGTTTTCAAAACTATGCTTTGGCATCAATTAACATTTTTATACAATTTCTGCATTTTAAAATATTTTAACTAATTTCTCCCAGCATTTTATTCATAAAAAAATCACTAATTGTATCAAAAATAGTTTTATAATAATTTTTGTGGTTTAATTTTATCATCTGCATGTGTACTAAGTTTCAATTGTTGCACAAATAGCCACTTCTGTATTTTTAGGATGCAATTGCAATTACTTTGCAATCATAGCCTATGCATGCATTATTACATTATTTCACCAAAATAGCCTTTTACATTTTTTAAATATTACGTAATTATTTTAAAATATTTCCAGGCATGAAAATCATTTTTTATAGCCTATTAGTTATTTTTAAAAATTGTTTATCAATTAAATCGGGTATTTAACAACTAGCACCTTTAACCATAATTAAATTCGCACCCCTGGCCCAATCAAATACACCCCTAGCCCAATTAAAACCCCAACCCAATTAACCTAACCCAAAACCCTGACCCAATTTTATAACCCGCCCCAGCACGGAACCAATCTTGGCCGTTGATCTCAAGAGATCAACGGTCCAAAACAAACCTTCCTTTTTTATCTAACCTAACCCCCGAAACCCTAAGCCATTTTTAACCAAACAGCCGCCCTGAAACCCCCCTTTCCTCTCCAATTCTCTCTGAGACCTAAACCTAACCCTAGCCGCCGCCACCCAAAACCAGCCCTAATCCCTGTGATTCCTACTCTATCTATGGCTTCCCATGGTTCTACGAGGCCTCTACTTGTCTCCTATCTCCCTGGTTGTTCGATTGTGTGGTTTTTGTGGAAGGACCTCGAAGAGATCTGATCCAGATCTCGTTTAAGGCTCTTCGAGAGTTTGTCCATGGCCTGTGAATGATTTCTATCGAAGTCTCACGGTTCAAATCCTTGATTCAAAGGCCAGATCCTCTTACCCTTTCTCTTTTCTACAAGAAACCCAATGTTTGGACTCGAATCGGTTCAGATCTATGTATATCAGGAACGATCCTGAGTTCATCGTTGATTTTCCTAAAAGTTCCTTTACTTCTTTACTAGTTAATCGATGTCTGAACATTTTTTGTTATATTAGGGTTTGTTTTCTTGTTGTTTGTTGGTCGAACCTCTAGGTATCTGAAACATTTTTAAACTTCCATGGCTACTCTTCTGGGTTCTTTTACTCCTTTACTACTGACCGATTTTTGAACACTATAATACTTCAGGTTTTGACTTCTATGACTTTTGTTTGTTCGAATCTCTGTATGTTGACATGCCTTCAAGTTTTCTTCTTTAAGTGTTTTCAAACTAGGGTTTCATCCCTTTAAGTTTTCTGCAAAATTCTAAAGTGTTTGACTGTGGTTCTCTTTACTTGTTCGACTGATTTTTCATATCTATATTTTAATCCCTAGGGTTTTTGCTTATTTCACTGATTATTTCAATATTTTGCCCATTATTCGTTAGTTCTGTCAATTAAAAAGGATTGACTGATTTTATTTGCCTAATTAGGGTTCAAATTATATTTGCCGAGATTGGTATTTCTCTGTGATTTCTTTCCTTATTTGTGACTCATGATTGGTAATACTTGCCTTAATTGGTTTATTAACCTGCTTTATGGGATTTAATTGCTTTAACCGACTCCTAGAGGGTCTTTGATTGATTTATTTACCTTATTGAACCTATAACTTGGCTGTTAATTGATTCTCCCTAATTTAAGGGGTGCTTTCCGGATTCTGTTGAATTATTTGATTGGGTTTAGCCCCAATTAACTATTTAATTTTACTTGCATACCTTATTTGGAACTCTTGATTATTCTTTGCCTTATTTGTTTTACTCTACTAAGTGCTATATAATCTCCCCATTCTGACTTTTGAAAGGACACGAACATTAGTTCATCAACACTCTTACACTCTCAAAACTCTCTATTCTCTTCTGTTACTTGTAATCCTTACTAACCCAGCCGGCTGTAAGCCAAGGCTGGCTATTTGCATCATCTCTACTCTATACTCCGTATCCTCTCTTCAACTGATATGTTCTGATTCAATTCAAATTCCAAAACTATGTGTTTCTTTGTTGTTTCAATTCATTAGTTGTGACTTCCAATCCTGTTTATTATTTTACTATTATGCGCTCAATGTGTAATTAGCATGCCTAGATCACACTGGCTAACTACTGTCTCACTTAGCATATTGGAGTTTGTTCTGACTAGTATATTTATCCATAAGAATCTGTTTACTGTTTAGTATGCCCAATCCTGCCTTGTGATAATTGCATGCATACTGTTTGCTCATTAGCATGTCCAAGCTACATTGCTTGTTTACTGATTCACCCAACATGTCTTAATTCTGCTTGTTCTATCTGTGATTAGTATTTCCAAACTATGAATGTTTTCATGAAGTGCTTGCCTAGTTTGTTCATCTAAATCTTGCTTACTCTACTTCATTAATGAGATCCTGGTATGTCATCTAGCCCTACAAAGTACTCTGATTGTGTGTTCAAGATCTATGTGTTCTCAACATGTCTTTGCTGGAAACTTTGTAATTAACTTGCAATTTCTTGAGAAGTTTGTGCATCTGTTTGCTTATACATTAGGGTGTATTCTATAAGTCCCCAAATCCCTTTCTCCCTATATGTAGAGTCTGTTTGCCAAAAAGTGTTTTTGAAGCTGTTTGTTTTATGACTTGCACTCTGATTTCAAAATGTTCTTCATGTTTTTCTCAAACCGTTTTACCACTCAAACTAGTACTGGTTTCAGAGAATCTCTTCACTCCTAAGACTGTTCTTTATACTGTTTACCAAAAACTCTTTTAAATCATGCCAAGCACTCTTACTTATTCTTAGGTTATTAAGTTCTTCCCCTCTGGTATGTGTACTGCTTAGAGGTCCATGAGACCTCTCCGAACTCTGGCATATCAGGGCTGGCACTTCCACACTGCACACAATCAGTCTTTATTTGAGAAAGTCTGGGTGTGAGCACTGCCCGGGATCCTTGAGATCCTTAGGGAACTCTGACACACCTAGGCATGAATTGTGCTATGAAGTCTTGGGCATTTGAGACTAGTGAAGGCCTGGTACACCAGGATTTGCTTTGGGCCTACTTCAGGCTCCCTATAGCTTAATTTCTATTCTATTTATGTAATTTTTATTCAATAATTGATTTGTAATAATTATTTGTAAAAAGATATTGGGGTGACTAATGAAAAGGGAGGGTAGTTGTATACAGTGGGTAAAGATGGGTTGATAACATGCCTATAGGGTTCATTTCGTTCAAATGTGTTTGTTAGATAACATGCCTATAGGGTTCATTTTGTTCAAGTGTGTTTGTTAGATAACATGCCTATAGGGGTTTCGCTTTGGTCAAATAAATTCTGCTTGCTTCACCTTATATATAATTAGACATCATGCCTATAGGATTAAAAATTAGCTTTAAGCATAGAAATCATGCCTATAGGATTTAAAATCAGCCTTAATCGTAGAAATCATGCCTATAGGATCTAAACCAGTTTAATTAGAAATCATGCCTATAGGTTCTGAATCAGTTAATCAATTATCTTACTCGTTTCCTTAATAGTCCTCAACGCCGTGTTAATTAATTAATAGAAGGCATGCCTATAGGATAAAGGATTTAAAAAATGTCTTTTTCAGAAATGTGACTGCATATACGCACTTAGGCAAGCCTTAGGGCGTTAAATAATCGTGAAACCAGCGCCGTCTATATGTGAAATTATCCAGGTTTAACAAGCTGTAAACCAGTAGGCAAACTGGTTAGGATCCTGCTACTTCCCTAAAAAACAAACGCTGCATGTTCTATTTTTGTGATATCATGTTCTTAGGATTTCTGAACTTCTTTTGAAAAAGCTGTGTTTTAGACATGCTGTTTGACTACCTATATACATGCGGAGGTAAAATGTGAGCCTTCTAAGTGTATGTCCTTATTTGTTTGTCCTATATATTATTTTCCCGTCGCCTAGATTTTTGCCTTTTCATAAACATTAGGCTGTCTAGAACTGTCCAGATTTAGAGGGTCCCAAATTCCTCCAGGATCATAAGAAAGGGGCGGGTAGCAGCACGCTTAGAGGTTGTTAATTAAACTCGCACATATAATCATTAAGGGGTGGGTAATGGATAGTAAAAGGATATGATGTTGCGCGCTAATATCACGTGTAGCCCCTCATTGAGGAGTGATTACCGGGCATTGCATGGGTATGATCTTCTAGGCTAATCAACCTAGGACTCCCCTTTCCCAATTCCATACGTGTTTAAATTTTATAAAACTTCTTTTCTTTACATATACACGTGCAAATTATTCAAATATCCTTCTTGTTCCCATTACCTGAATCGTACATGTATTTAGAATGTTAAAACATACCTTTATTTGCAAATATGTGTTGAAACTGTTTATTTGTTCAAAATGACTGATTCATATAAGTTCGGC